CCCATGAGGCCAAGCTCTCAAGACTAAAGGCAGTCGATCTTGAATATTTGCTCGACCAATACCAAAACCCATGTAACTTCAGTATGGTGCTCCATGACAGTGTCTTGGTTTACCTGATCTCCTACGAATTTTCTCCTGTGGATGGTGCCTTCGTAAAAAGGAAGCGTGTATAATCGGAAGTATTATAGTCGATGTAATGATGAGTGTGGGCGATTTAATGGCCAGGGTGGTTAGTCCAAGAAAAGGATGGGACCGAGAGACACATGGAGCGTTTGTTTGTGAGTGCGTGTGGTGAGTTGTCCTAACTGAACATATTAAGATATTTTAGGGGTGTAATTTTACCTCATGCATCCCATCTCAAGTACTGTTTATCATGGCGAAATTTGTCCAAGTGCGACAAATTTTCCTCCGTAATTTTTGTAAACCTAATCAGATTGTGATTTAACGGACATCATTATTGTCCGTTAAAATTTATTCAACGGACATCATTAACATTATTGACGGAGTTTGATATAAAATCCATAGATTTAAAAATTATCGAAGGAAAGTTCGCTTCGTATTTTATGATATTGAACGAGTCATATGAATTAATTTCTCAAGCACAACAACTCATATCGTTTCATAGTTTCAACAAGTCTCGCTCGTTAATTTAATTACCGTATACTAAATAAAATTATGTTACCAGAGTGATTGTGCACTCGGGTGGCTGTTAGTACGACGTTTAAATATCACCGTCACCATCGTTACAATTCTGCCGCCATGAATGATTACAAGTTTAAAATTACTATTTTCAATTTATTTCAAGGTAAATCCTCTCCTCTCATCATATTAATCGAAATGCGTATAATTATATACATATATAACAACATATTAGAGTTTGATCATGTAAATATCGCATCATATCGATTAGTGATGCATCGATCGTCAGCATCACTACTGTTATTTTGTTGTTTATAATGCACCGGAAATTCACTCGAAATGGTTAGTGAATTTATAGACATTCGCAGTCATGAAATTTGGTCGCATGCAAGGGCATCATGTAAACGTTTCACCACTCTCCAGCGAGCAGGGATAAACTGCCTCTCGCACGCTTTAGCTTCATGCTACCAATGAACGATGCGCTTTAACCCACGACAAATTGGCTATTGACAGTAAATAGGCAACACCATCCTAGCGAGCACCTGCTTTGACATAATTGCCTCTCTGTCTGTCCTGCACTACATGTCGCTCGTCGGCCAGTCTTCACGCACTCGGGCATATCGGAAATCAACTTGAATTACGGGACCCAAATTTATACATAGAATAATTTTATCCATTACTTTGATAATATAAAGTATGGTTGTACTTCTTTCATTTGTCTTCTTGTTGCTTGCGTTTATTTAATTGTATGGCATTTTTATAAAGTTGAAGTGAATGCTCTTAAATGAACGATAATTTGAAGATGACAAGACCGTATTTGTATTGAGATATGCTTAATCCATTCCAGCTTTGCCAGACAATGATTTGTTCAAACAAGTTTTGAGAACACGCGATTCTAATGTAAAATTATTATGAAGTTTTCTGAAGTGAAACTCGATCCCCAATTGAATAATGTAATGCTATTTTGCAAATTTTACTTATGCCAGTAAATTTCGCATTAGACAACAACGAAGCCCGATTCTCACGAGCCAGCAAGGGAGGTCCATCTCATGATGAACGTGCTGCAAGATTACCTCATTTATCGCGTTGTCGAGTGTCTTGCGTATATTGACACCCGTATTTATTACGTGGACCGGTCAAGGCTTCAGACTACGTGAAGACAAGTTTTGAACCGTGAATGTTTACAAAGTACAGCGTGGTTCACGGAAACTTCCTGACTTGAAAGATCAATGAGAAAGAACTAGCAAAGATGTCATTGCAATATAACTTTGATTAAAAAATACATTGTCTGAATTTATGTATCTCTTATGTTTTAAAGATGACAGCGAACAAATGACGGCCTCAATTGCCCATGCTATCAGTTAGTCGATTTTTGAAGTTCCGTTCAACTCGCTGAAGTATATTGACGGCTATTTTGGCGATGGCTTGGCGTCATTTGTTCTTCAAATGAGGTAAACTCATTGGACAGTCATTGTAAACAATTGATTTAAGATAACCCCATAAAAATCACACGAAACCAAATTGGGGGAACCCACTTAACAATCGATTTCCGATCATGTAACTACACTGAGTTATAGAAGCAGATGCTCTGCACACCATCATCAGTGAAGCAAGTAACTACACTGAGTTATAGAAGCAGATGCTCTGCACACCATCATCAGTGAAGCAAGTAACTACACTGAGTTATAGAAGCTGATGCTCAGCACACCATCATCAGTGAAGCAAGTAACTACACTGAGTTATAGTAGCAGATGCTCAGCACACCATCATCAGTGAAGCAAGTAACTACACTGCGTTATAGAGGCTGATGCTCTGCACACCATCATCAGTGAAGCAAGTAACTACACTGAGTTATAGAAGCAGATGCTCAGCACACCATCATCAGTGAAGCAAGTAACTACACTGCGTTATAGAAGCAGATGCTCTGCACACCATCATCAGTAAAGCAAGTAACTATATACACTGCGTATATAGAGGCTGGTGGCTTGCGCGCAATTGTTGGTTGATGATCAAGAATGTTCTATGTCAGGTTCTCGTTCATCATATCTAAGCATGAAAATAACCCAATCTCTGCCCCTGTATTCCTTTATTAAATTACACATCATGAATGAAATGGTAGCTCGGACATGACCCTAACTATAGTTACATAGCATTACATGGCTTACGCTCATGTGTCAACGTTTTGATGGTCGGACTCTTCGTTGCCAGCGTCGTATAACATTTTATATTTGATCTGTTTTGACTCGATGCAACTAATTCTTCTTTTACTGTTATTATTACTAATAATATTATTCTACGAAGCATTAATCGTGGTGTCTGGTTCAAAAGAACTTCGAGGGCACGTTATACACCTAAATTTAATAGCTAACGAAAAATGAATAGACGCGAGGAAGGATGGGAACGGATAAAAATGACCTATGCACGCACTCGATTCATAGGCTCTACGAAATATTTCCATCTTTTGGCGTGGACGAATTTCCGTCTGTAGGCGTTTGATCGCCAGCGTCGACGTAATTTGATCAAACAATAATGTAATACATATTACCGGAACTGGTTCTTAGAAATATATTTATGGTCATAATGCTTAATTCGTTGTCGTTCTATTGTTTAGGCAATTCGTTTCAGTTCCGTTCGTACTCCATTTCTCTCGTGTATTTATCTTTTCTGAAGTCATCATTACATGTGTAGGTGAATACGTACGGTATTTTACTCTAATTGATAATCATGCCAAAATCGTGGTTTTTATTTTTTTAATGCAGTGCACTTGTAAATTATTATTATATTTCACATGTGCATACCCGTCAATGATTTACTTGTCAGTTTCCTTCCATGAATTGATTCACTGTAATTTTATTTTCGCATTAATTTTTAGGGTAAACATAATTATATGTGAAAATTCCTCAATGTAATCGTTGGGTTTGATTGAGACATTTCATTAGTTCAAGGATAATAAATAAAGGCACATTTATCGCTTCTGTTATTTCCTTCCTATATCTTGAATGGCGCGGAAGGCTTACAACTGCTCTAATCAATCCGGAGCGTGAAAATACAGTATATGTTTTGAAGAGTTGAAAATTCATCGAATGGTAATATTTGGCGCGAAAAACTATACGAAACTAATGTATTTCATTTACTGAAGATTTGAGAATAGTTATGTGTAAACTTAACTTAGCAGTCTCTTGGTCGTTGCTGTCTTAACGGTAAATACACACATTTAGAGGAAAACGCTGAGAGTGGAAGTAAGAAACGAAGAAAGAAGGTGGAAGGGAAGAAGGTGGAAGGGAAGAAGGTGGAAGGGAAGAAGGTGGAAGGGAAGAAGGTGGAAGGGAAGAAGGTGGAAGGGAAGAAGGTGGTGGGGAGGAAGGGTGGACTCTCATAAACAATTAAGTGAGCTCAGAGCATCAAAGAAACCACCTCCAATCAATATTGGTAACACAACCTCGCATTACTTCCTGCCGCCAGTGACAGTCTAAAACCTACACCGAGCTGAACTTGGCGACTAGCGAACGACACCTTTAATGTAACGCAATATAGATCGGCGATATAGAACGTTATAGTGTCATCTAAGGCCGATATATGGCCCACCGTGTCAGCCTATCAATAAATGACAAGCGGAGATCCAAACAACTTCAGATAATTTCGGCCTGCATCGACACGCAACGTTGAACGAAACCTCTGGAAACGCCTCCATGCAAGCTTCAGGTTCTCCTCCTTGCTTAGCAGCGTTGCAATATTCATTCTAAAATATATACTTCTATTTACCTCAGCTCTAAGCAACTCAGAAGGTTTCGTGTCCCGTTGTATTTGATCTAACAATTAAACTTTCACTAAAAAAAAACAACGAACGAAAGCAGGCGAAAACAAACGGTTTTAAGGAGCCATCGCCGTTGGTTTTAGTTTCCGCCAGTGGCGTGCCTGGAGCCATTTGTTTGCATCGAACCATGGAGGGCGTTTAGAGACGGAGCTTTGCGATACTTCGATGTGCCGAATCGGCAATATAACTCGGCGACACTTCATCGGCTCCTGCCTTTTTGGTTAACGTCCGCCGTGTTTCGCGGCTCGCCAACTCAATGTATGCACTGAAGTGCACGTCATTTTTTTCGATTATAGAAAAGTGCGTGGTAGAATATTGATATTGTGTTGACTATTGCAAATCGTGTTTAGCCATGTTAACATTCATGAAGATTAGGTCTCATGTCACGCATTTCGCTACGGTATTCCAAGTACATTAATTTTCGGGTACACAAAGCAAAATTCTGAACAAGTAGCACTACCATCAATATCCGTTGATTATGCATCAATACTGAATGTATTACTGTATTTTAATTCATTATATTCATCAGGGATTCCAAACTCAGGCAAAATTTTTAAAACAGGTTTATTCTCGACCTAATTCGTACATCTATATATATAACTGTACAGAAAACAAATATGTTAATTTTACAATTATTCTTTAGAATTATGTTCACCTAAAAAAGAAAGGTGTAATTGTCTCTAAATGACTGTTAAACTTCCCTCCATATGAAAAGCATGTTCACTTCTGGAATGGAAAGTAATAATTTTTCGTTTTGCTTAAAATTAAAAAAAAAATTATGGTCGAATTTGAGGGTGATCGAAAGCATAAAATAAGGGTTTACATATGAGGATGAAAAAAATTAGTTCTGTAAACATTTCAGAAATGAAAAGTTTACATTTGAGAGTGGTCGAGAATTAGTTCTGTTAAAAGTTCTTTACTTGAAGAAAAGAATAACGACAAAACTATTCTCATCTGACGATTAATTTGACACTGAGTGGCTAGTCGTTCCTTGGGAACTATTTTGCTCATTAGGATCACATTATAGCAACCAATTGAAGTTCTTTCAAGAAAGACTGTCAAAATTAAAAGTGGCGCTCGAATGCAACTTTTCAACGACAATTTATACTCTTGAATATCTTTTGAATTCTGAACCAACAACTAAAAATATAATAAGCTGTATGGAAAGCGCTTACCGCTGACAGGTTGGAGGGCCATTGAGAGGTCATCTAGTTCAACCAATGATAAATACCGTGCCAGACGATTACATCTCGCGCACAACCTATAATAGCCAAGTTCCGGTAAAAGTTACTATCTTTAAATATTTTTATACAATCTTTTAAAATCTCATCTTCGAGAATCGATCAGCTTATTACCTACCGTTGCTGATCTCAAAATTTAATAGATGTTCATTTACCGTCCAAAACTGAATGAAGGTATAATTTCTAGAAAAAAAATTCGAAATAAAATAAGAAACAGATAAATAAAATGTGCAAAAATTATAACAATTTCATTTTAATTTGTAACGATTCCTTAACTGCTTAGTTGAATTTAAATGGTATAAATTTAGGGACGCATTTTGGTCTGTAATTGGCTTCTGAAATTTTATTATTTCTTTTCGTTGTAAATTTGCCACATGAGGTTCCAAAAACACAGGATTCTGACACTCACAAAACTCGTGGGCTCAGACAACGCTCATATGAAGATGATTCAAGACTAACCTCTACAACGCGCTCATATATATTCAATTATATATTTGCGAATCAAATATATTTTATTTATCAAGACTGAATTTACCACACTTTTTAAGTCAATTTTGCCCGAAATCCAAGTTGTAGGGTTCGTTTTCATGTTCTAGTCCATGTTTTTGCATCATGTATGCATTAACAAACACATAATTTATGACCGTACATTTTTAAACGAACCATAGTTAGCGACCTTCTCTCATTCATGTATTATTTTTATTGGGAGGGTCAATGCCCCATCGTTTTTTTGCAATCTTGCACTCTGTATGCAAGTTTGTTACGGCACTGCAGCAATTTAAAGACATCATTGATGCTTGGTTAAGGCTAATAAGTATCTTACACGTATTATGTTAGTTTTCGGGTTATTGTCATTCTCTAGTGAATGATCACTGCGCCTGTTAAATCAAAATTTGAATGATTCAATCCATTTAATTATATATTTATTAATATCCGTTATTTTAACGTTCTTGACTGATCAAGTTGGCAACAAAAATCTAGCCATACGATTGAGAGAATTCCAGTTCGTTACCATAAGCTAATTGAATACATAAACAAACACCGATATTTATTTACAGTGTACGGAGTAATATTTAAAACTATTTACACATCTGTATGAATGGACATGACTTTACAAAAACAGCATACAGTGCACGTAAAAATCATACATTCCTTTTATGTTTCCAGTTTTCGATTTAAATAAAGCGATTGCTGGAACGCAAAGCTTTAAATTATTTAGAAGCTTGGGACGATTTGTAAACGTGACGTGATTTTTTTATGATAATTTCTATCTTGAATAAATGAATTACTGTTAAGCATGAGGCCACATAAGTTTTCTCATCCATACTTTTGTGATAGATTGAATATTATATTCAGCATAAGGTACAATAAAGTTGGCGTCCGAATGTTTATTTGTACTTATCTTCCAGAAAAAAGTACGAAAATTTTGAAACAAAGTTGAAACCTACTTATGGGCATTTATTTTAATTTTGTTTTATGCTTCAAACGATAGGATATTCTGAGTACACAATTACCGAAGATATGTGGAGCGTTTAATGAAATTGCACATCGGGACAAATTTCCTAGGTGAATTGCAATTATTTACTTTATAATTCGTTATGAATTATTCGTATTGAATTCGTTATAGAATTTTTATTCGCTCAGATTAACTATTCCGACGCTGATCGTCTAGGCTAGTTGATTGATTAATTGATTGTGCAAAATCATGCATGGATAATGCCAACTTAGGGATGGATGATTGAAACTAATTTTGATTTCAGATAAAGAAAATCATATTCTAGGTCGAACGCCTCCGTTCCAGACTTAATTGCTTCTTCACCGAATAAAACTGTAAAACGTTGACAATATTTAAGTTGGCAATTACAACATCTTGCTCAATCATAGATTGTTATTTCAAGCAAGGATGACCAAAAACATAATTGCCTATAATACTATCAGTACGCGAACGAGAAACCCTTTGCGAAAACTACGTAGTTTCGGATACCGTAAATATACATCGACATTGATATTTCTACGATTGCTGGTCAGGAGGTTCTTGAGGTGAGCTCTTTGGCAAGAAGTAGGGGGAATAACGGTGAAGATTAAGCGGTGCGGGGAATAACGGCCGTGTTATGTGACCGTTGGGCGACGATACAACAACCGGCGACGATGCTGAGGTCGACGCCAAAGCTAAAGCTGCAGAAACCTGAGGATTGCCAAGATGACTCGCCGCCGCGGCCGCTGCTAAAGCTGGATTAGGATTAGATGCCGATGCGAGTCCGTGCAAAGCTGTCCACTGACTCCAGAGATGCGCTGGTATCGGCAAACTGGCCGCTGGACTTCCACGTGCTGCTCCATTTAAACCGTAGAGCCCTTGTAGGTTAGGTAAACTTTGCAGACTAGAGAGATTTGGAAGATTCGAAAATTGGTGTGGGCTTGTCATAAGCGACGGGGAAGGTTGATGAGGTGACGAGCCTGATTGTGAGGTTAAAGCTGCAAGTCCGCCCCATATGAGACGGGTTCGAGCTTTTTCTATGAGGTTGTTTTCAGCGTCAAGATCGAGGTAACCGGGCAACCTGGCTCCTAGATAGTGGGGGTCTGCGAACATTCCTTCCATGGTGTCCCTGCAAGGAAAAGAATCGAGACCAAGTTAGTAATGCATAAGGATAATGCTACTGGTTTGTAAACGTGAATAAGAAGAATTTATGATTTGATCATTTCTAAGGTTGCTAGTGAATGTTGAAATTTCACAAGAGCCTTTGCAACATTTGACCTCATTAGCTGGTTATTTGGTAAAATTTTATCGTTAGACTCTAATGAAATTTTCTACATTCTATTAGTATAAAAATTTTGAGTATAAAAAAACGAGCTAATGAATGGTAAATTTTCTTCAAGCTTCTGAAGTAACAATGAATTATATGGGAATAAAATGCATTCATTTACATCAATTAACGGCCTGAAAGCTTGTGGCCTATCACAGATTTCGACTAAAAAAAAGCGGTTGGCAGAAGCTTGCCCAGCGAGCAACCATACGGAACGATTGCTCTCAAGTGAGTGGAACTGTGTTAACTATTGAATACTGAAGCTCCATAGTTCAATTTACCTTTCTGAATTTATGAAATTATCCCTGAGAGATTGAGTGCCGAGCCGTATAATCTCAATTTGCAGGAATTATTGTATATTAATTTATGAATAAAATAGCGCTGTCGATGTGGGCAAGTCCGTGCAACGTTTTTTTCCTCTGAGGATTTTAATCCCCTAGAGATTTGCCTCTTTTTACAGATGCCGAGTCTCAAGATGCCGTTTGTGAGAATTTCTAATGGAGACCCAATGCCTTAATTCTTGAACTTTAATTTAATAATCGAAATATTTTATCTTTTCGCGCTCATGCAGTAACAAAAAAAATTACAGCATGTCGATTGACCAGAGAGTTTAGTGAGCACGTACTAGAAACTCTGGCTGAGTAATCTTTCGTGATAGAGAATAATGTTTACACTTTTCCTAAAAAAAAACGCTCCGATACTGCAATCTTTTAACTGAAGAATACACTTTTCATCAAAAAATAACCGCTTTCACCCTGCAATCTTTTTCCCAAGGAAACACCTCTCATGCTTCACTATGGTTTGCAAATTCTGAACATTGGTGGAATTTCGCAAGCGATCGCAAGGATGCGGCCACATTTTGCCCTCTCCCTCTCACAGGCGTCACGTCGCACGCACGGCACACATTCGTGTTCGGGTGTCGTAGATATTTTGATGCGTTTACGCGGTAATAATTTTAGTCGGGGACGGCATTGCAGGACCCCTCCCCTCTATAGCTGACGCCTCGACAAAATTTATAAACCATGACGACACGTATTCTCGGACGGGCCAGCAATGAGCGCGCAACAACCCGTTAATCATGCGAGAAATTACCAGGGATCTGCCCTGTTGCGAACCTACAATAAACCTCCATCAAGTTGACTTCTAGCGGTGAGCCATGGAACTGCCAAAATGATTCAATAGCCCAAAATAAAAGTAAAAAGTCAACATATCGCTAAGCTAAGCCCGGTCTTCGCGTCAATATACCTTTTAAAAAGCAATAAGGTGGCCGTTGAGTGGACAACATTAATTGGGCTCTGATTTGCCATAGGGTAGTCGTAATCATTGGTCCCATGAAGGCAATTTGGAACCGTGGGTACAAGACGAGAAATTTTGTTGTTTTTCACACTTGAAACCTGCGATTGGCGGCAAATGATTTCCTCTCGGAAATGACAGAGGCTTGACTGCATGGTTTCCAACGACATTCGGACCAGGCAATAAGTCCAGCAGCTATCTCAAACAATCGTCAGTTATGGAAAGATCGGGTTCCAAAGGCCGGATCCCTTGTGGAATCAAGTCACGAAAAGTGCAAGAATCGGCAATAGGCATGAGCCTATTTCTTCAGTGCGACAATTCTATTCTATTCTATTTGCACCCGCGCACTTCGGCACAGGGAAATGATCTAAATTTGACGCGTTTACTCGGTAAGTAATCTTAGCAAGATTTGATGTTAGTTAACCTTAGCATCATCACATCAACATGATTTTTGATGCTTATAATCTTCAAATTTAATATATCCATTTTAAACTGGACTGATATCAACATTGATAACATCAAGTTTTCTCATCACAAGAGAATTTTGAGTTATGTCGTCTGCTGCCAAGTTAGTAATATTTGATTTCAATAGTTCCGCAAGCATTAGCCTCACTTCCAAATTTTAACAAGACCTACAATATTCCAGCATAAAAAAAACAACGATCGAACCGATTCCTGGATGTACAACACAATCATGGGTCTGTTGCGACTCCAAATTCAAAAGCGCTTATAGTGACCATGACCAGTGACACCCCCACACTGTTATATAAACACCACAGTTACATCACCAAATACCACCAGCAACACCACGCCACCACCACGCCGCCACCACGCCGCCACCACGCCGCCACCACATCGCCATATCCTCTTTAAGCGGCGGGCCGCGGCAATGAAGCGCCGCGCTGTCATTTTGATGACCGTTGCCGCCACCATCGCTGCGTTATGACCTAACTTACATCACACTAGTGTGGTGGTGAGGCGTGTGGTGGTGAGAGGTGTGGTGTTGGTGAGGGGTGCGTTATGACCTAACTTACATCACACTAGTGTGGTGGTGAGGGGTGTGGTGGTGAGGGGTGTGGTGGTGAGAGGTGCGTTATGACCTAACTTACATCACACTAGTGTGGTGGTGAGGCGTGTGGTGGTGAGAGGTGTGGTGTTGGTGAGGGGTGCGTTATGACCTAACTTACATCACACTAGTGTGGTGGTGAGGGGTGTGGTGGTGAGGGGTGTGGTGGTGAGGGGTGTGGTGGTGAGGCGTGTGGTGAGGGGTGTGGTGGTGAGGCGTGCGTTATGACCTAACTTACATCACACTAGTGTGGTGTTGGTGAGGCGTGCGTTATGACCTAACTTACATCACACTAGTGTGGTGGTGAGGGGTTTGGTGGTGAGGGGTGTGGTGGGGTGTCATGTAGTGGTGGTGAAATATGTCTGCAACAGTTTTTGGTTATTGAAAAACAGCGTTACAGAAATATCCCCTTCTATTTCGAGGCTTGTGTAAGGCAGAGGTCAGCTTTTTTGAAAAATCCCCTGATATTTTCTATCGTGAAATATGTAACTTTTTGTTGCTGCCAATTAGCCGCACCTCATAAAGCTGAGGCGTGCGTTAAGCCGACACCGTTTGGCACCAAATGATATGGTCAATTTGACGCGCAGCTTGCGCCATTTTCAGGTTAAATTTGAGGGGTATTTTCAGCGTTCGCTCACTAACGCACTGGCCGCAACCATTACCGGCAAAAATTGCCGCCCTAATGTTAATTTATAGTGCACAAGTATAGCGCGTCGTGCGCAAGTATGGTGCGGTGACTCGGCTAGTGCAATTAACGCGCTAGCTTGTGCAGCGATGATGGTGGCGTGCACCATCATCGTCACATTCACGCATGCATCCAGTGCGTGAGTCGACCTCATCGTCACATTCACGCGTGCATCTAGTAAGTCGATCATCATCGTCACATTTACACGTTCGTTTATTAAGCTATTCGAAACCCGCAGCGTTCTCACCGTAACTTCTATAAGGGCCTCTGCTCTACGTGATAAAATACATTGAAATAATTAAAAACTCTCTCCTTCTGTTGACATATCTCAGATTTAGGTAAAAAAATTTGAGCGTTTTTTTCACAATAAAAAAAATTATTTTATATATTAGCAATTGTTATATACCTTCCCAATATTATTTATTAATATTTGTTTTGGAAGTACCGGTACTATTTTTTATTTTTAAAAATATATTTATTTTGTCCATCTTACTTTGCCGTGTATAAAAGACGGGATGCATTGGATGGTCCCGTAACGAAATATTGAATGGAAATTTAATTCCTGGATTATTTCCTACATACGTGTTCTACGCATGATGCCCGCCTCAAATAGAATGAATTGCATGATTCCGTAATGGAAACTGTGCAATTTTAGCTCGTAAATGGCTGGAAAATGGCTTTTTATTCCTGGCTTGGATTACATTTAATGGAGGAAGCCTTACGGAAATGATGTAGGCGATTAAACCGCATTCTTGCTAGTCATGAACGCATAGCATTTAATTTAAGCCAAAATATAGGTGAACCATAAGTATAGACATAGCCTATACTTACGAACCTAGAAGCCTACATAATGTCTTTACCACACACCGCACTAACTCACTCGAAGAACTTAAGAAGTAAATCTAAAGACTTCCATAACAAAGTACAAGTGTGTAGAAGACGGTATCTATAATGACCATCTCGAAAGGCCCTTTCTGAAGGAAGGTGTCAGAGTTGCTATTTAGACATCGTTAGGTCTAAACACGGCTGTAATTATGGCACCTCACATAAGGGTAAACAAAGCTCCCGCACAATATACTACTTTGCAAATAACAGCTTAGCTACTTGCCTCACCGACAATATGTGAGAATGAAGTGTTGAAAATTGCTACCAAAATTGGCGAGCCGATCGACGTCTATGGTTTGAGTCATGCATGCTAGCCGAGCTGGAATACGTCGGAGTGTGGGAGCATAGCAATATTGAAACTTTGCCAGCCATGCGATCGTTTAATGCCGCCAAATTACTGGTTGATGTGACTCAAGGAAATTTGTGAATTGAGCGTGAGAGCATAAAGCATGTGAGCCTCCAATGCATCGCGAGCGTCGCAACGCATGAGATTAAAACAGTGATGTGTACATGAATGTTCTTCACTCTTTACAACTTACCGGATGAGCTTTAATTCGAGAGACCTATCGAATATGAATGTTCGTTTTTGATGTGCTAGATTCAAGAAACTGGTTAAATTTGGAGCACTCAGTTAAATGCAGGTAGCTGAGTAATTCAACGTCAAACTAGCCGCCAGAAGCGTAGACATGCAGACGCGTTAATTTCGATATATGTCTGCATGACTAAACAAATTTGAGCCAAATTTATTATGTTTAATAAATCATTCATTTGCAATGACTAGTATTTTTTAAAAAATCAAATGTTTGTTGATGCTTGTAGTGAATGGCCGGTTTTTCCACAATTTTTTTATGTTGAAATTCATTGTATGAGCCTTAAATTAGTTCGTTAGGAATGACAGCTCAGTTTCATGCTCTACAAAGATGGGCATTGAAAATATAACTCCCGCTAATTTTTCTACCCTATTTACGCGTAAAATTAATTTTTGCAGGTGTTATTTTGTTTATTTATTGAGAAATTAAACAATAAATTGCTCTTTTTGCACTTTCCATTCTCGATCCCAGCAGTAAATCGGATCCATGCCATCGCCATTTTCTATACAGTATACGATCAGGGATAAAGCGTTCATCAAACCGTCCGGCAATTTGTCAACGTCGGCAGCCGGTGCGTAGCGTCTGTAATAACACGAAACGCGGAACAGCGATATCCTATAATGTCACGGCCATTAGATGCATGTGTCTCGGCCATATTCGTGACACTACTAATATTCGAAGAAAGCCTCGTCATTAGAAGTCAGAATCTCGTGTAAAGTGACACTAATAGTGGGTGCTTCAGCGGCAATGCATCAAAGAGGCGCTGTAATGACATTTAAGAACCTTAATGCCGCTTGTTTGGCAAATCAGATCGGATGTTAGGCTATCCATCACGAAGTGAGTTCTCCTATCTATCATGCGACATCAATACCTACTAAATACCATCATCAGATCCTCCTATCAACTTGCTCATCAAGCCGAAAACTTTCTAAAGAGGCTTGCCTTTAAAACGACCTCGATCACTGCTTCACCGATAAGTCAATCTGCAGAGGTGATGTTTTCCTGGTAATAAGTTCGCGACAACGTGCACCTTCTATTCCACCCCCTTCCTTGAGGCTATGTTTCTCGATAGTTTGCAGACATCTATTCCAAAGATATTTAAAAAACAACGAAACATTCCTACTGCTACTTGATTCATCTTCCCACTTGATTTATCCTGAGTAGTCCAATGAATGCTGTGCGTATTGTTCTGTTAGTTATGTTAGTTATCTTCTGTAATTTACAATAGGCATATTTTTCAGCTATATGAGTTGAAATAGTATCGAGTACTCACTCACTGAAGTTAGATACAGCCTCTCATAATAATTGTGTACAGGATGATAACTTGTTCTTCAGATGGTTGCAGCTTTATTACTCTCAGGCCAATATATATGTCACGGTTCAAACAGACATTACAGCCAGTAAATGTGGAATTTTACGTTGGTTTAAAGCGGCGAAAAGCCAATGATGCAGGGAATAACAGTTCATTGTTTGACTAAGATTAAGGTTTTTTCCTTTTGTTTCTCATAAATGGTAGTTCAAGAACACAAACCAGATCACAAACAAGTATCGGAAATACAAGTAACGCGGATTTTTATCACTACTTTATGAAAAAGAGAGAGCACTGCCCTCTGTTCGGATATAATTATAACTTCTTGATATACTTGTTCAACCGAGACTGCTATATAGAGCACTATAGCTTAACTCAGGTGTTGCAATAGTTCATGTTACTGTAGTCCATGTCATTTTTGATAACCTCGAAATGTGTGAAGCAAGGACGTTCTCATCAGTATTTGTTGATTAAAACTCTCCATTGAGATCTTGTTGATCGAAAATGTTCTTATTCGCGCCTAAACCGCTGGTATATTGCACTTCGGGTATATTCGGAAGCAATAAAGTATTCTCGATGAGCTACAACGGGTGTTTGATAGGGAGAGCTGCCGAAGCAAACATGATGGATGGGTTCCGCTGCTGAACGTGTTATATATCCAACTTGGTTGCTGCTCACACTGGCACACTCGCCACACTTGCACCTTCAAGTTTGTGGGATATTCACATTGATTGCGGCTCACATTGGCCCACGCGCAACACTTGCACCTTCAAACTTTCTTGTGGGATATTCACATTGATTGCGGCTCACATTGGACCACTCGCAACAACTTGCACCCAGAAACCCTCTAGTTTACTTCTATTTTTTCGTCAACTTTCTTACACGCCGTTGAAAGTTTAACTAGTAATTCTTATCATTTTTCTTCTTAATCTTCGTTAGATGTAGCCTTAGAATTAAATAAAAAAAGAATAAAAATGAGAATTATTAGAATTAGAATAAAAATGAGAATTATTGATCATTTAATTTTAGCTAGCGCAGTGTATATACCTGAGAGGAATAACATCATTCTAAACCGCCAGCACAGCAGACAGACAAAGCTCTTTAATTACATATTAATGATTGCTCCCTATTTACGGAGCATTATAGTTATTATACTAACTTGATGAGAGGTTTTTAATCCATGAATTTTTAAAACTGACTATTCACTTGTTATGAGGAGTGATTTTTATTCATGCACGAGTTGTCAGCAGAAAATCTGGTGTAGCTCAAGGCTGCATATTACTATCGTCATCGCTTCGCTTGTATATAAAGTCATTATTTCAGCTTGAGTTGATTGTGTTGGAAATCATGGTTGAAGTAATCTACATAATTACGGATAACTTTTCCTAATTTTTATTACTTAATTAGCTGTTAATAATTCCATACAATTATTGTGTTTTCCTCTTCATAAATCATGAAAATTATTTCTCGTACAGGAACTCTATCGAATTCTAGGAGTTCATTGGTGGCAGTTTAGAGTCACATCACGACGGTTGTAAATTTGTTGATGGTGTAATTTGATGCAAGCTTCATGCTAATTACCCACACATTACCAACACATTGCCAGCTTGTTATAGACACATTAAGCACTAGCATCCGCACCTTTGATGCCTATCACAAGTGCATTACCACTGTATTTTAGACGCGTTTACCCCAATTATTGACGGTAGCACCAGCGAGATAGCCTGAGTGAGCTGCACCAAACGCTCCTGCTTGCAATTGCTTTCTTCCGGTGTAATAGCTTCAACACTTCGATATATGTTCCATAATCAACAACTGCAATGCTTTGGACATTCGTTTACTTCTCTTAAATATATGTTGATGTGGAGGATATAATGTATGTCCGGCATGGTATTATTCAACTCGCAATTCCTGTGGTTTACATCGAAGCAACATCAACTATTCTTACACCAATGATGTTCATTAAATTGAACATTACTGTGAATTAACGCATTAAATAAAATTGTGGTCGGCTATGTGAGGAATAATTTATATCAACAATCCAGAGCCCAAATGACGAGTGTATTGCAAATTCTTCTCATTTCATGGCATCGCTGATGCAATTCCCGACGATAAATTATTTTTTTAATCACAATTTATCAGTCGATTGTTTTTACTCCCAAAGTACGATTCTAATTCTAGTAAGTATTGTTTTATTTCAAGTATTACTTGAGATAATATATCGGCAAGTATGATGTAGAATGTCGTAGCTGATTAAAACACAGTCTTGTTAGTCTGAACGCTTAGCATTTTATTTGAGCCGATATATAGGTGAGTTATAAGCTATAGCCTCGATATACTCGATATAAGCTATAGTCTCGATATACTCGATATAAGCTATATTCTCGATATACTCGATATAAGCTATAGTCTCGATATATCTATGTTATTCAATTTCAAATATATATATATATAAAATATAAATTTTAATTTATACCATTATTATAAATCAATGCTAAATTTAATTCAAGATCAATCAATCTAATCACAATTTTTTAATTTAATCTGTATTTTGCCAGAGAAGTTTCATGGCACGTTTAGCATTTTATTTGAGCTGGTATATAGGTAAGCCGTGAGCTATATTCTCGATAATACGAACCAAATATATCTAAAATTCTAAGTTATTCGATTTCAAATATTACCTATTTTTTATTTATATCGTTACTAATATAAATTAATCCTAAAATTAGTTCAAGATCAATCAATCTAATCACAATTCTGATCAATCAATCTAATCACAATTTTGAATTTAATCAGTATTTCGCCATGGCAATCATCAGGTATATAATGGAGCAAGCCTCAAGTCAGCCTTGTTGCAGCGAGACTGTAACCCGACTCGTCGCCAATCAACACGTATATAAGCGGACCACAACACATGTGCGTGCAGGCGATGTGAGATCATGTACATGTGTACGTCGATGCTTGTGTAGGGCGCTCAGCGCCATGTCATTATCAATTTCACGCCTAAAGAGGACCAGGGAAAAAATTAATAAACGGGCATGCCGAGACGCCAAGAATTGGCATGGGCGTCGGGCATGGCCGAAGTATGGCATCGTGGCCAGGGAAGACCGCTTCCCATGTAGAAAATTGTTACGAAATATCGCCGGCCACTGATTAATCGTCCGAGATTTCAAAGGATGGAATTAAGCAGGAGAGGCAGATTGAGTAGATAATATGGCTTAAGTCGCACGCCTCGACTAACGAGACAGAAATAATCCCTTCGAGTTTTTCTCGAGTGGTGGAAAGTGCGGTAGATCGGCCGAGCATGAAATGACTTTTCCATGTGTTTCGTCGAGTAAAAGAACACGAGTTTCCGAAATAAAGTGTCATCAACACCATAGAAAGTATATGATGTTTATGGAGGGTGAATGAATAGTTAGCAAAATTCGATTGAAATATTTATAACTTATTAATATGTTATGAAAGGCGTTATAATTGCCTCTATATTTAATGACACTCGCTGCGCACTATAAAATGTAAGTAATCTACGCGAGTTTTTGTAGCATAGGACTCTCGTAACTAGACTTTGAAATTATCAAATAAAAAATAATTGGCATAGTTTTAGAATAAATTGGCCTAGTTTAACAATATAATTATTTATAAATTTAATGGGTTACCTCTCGAAATCTGTGAGGCGCGACGAGTCTCTGAAGCCTTTGGCGAACGGGTTGCTGTCGATTTTCAGCTTAGTGATCTGCGGGCCAAGAGAGGAGGGATTGAGCGTAAATATTATCATATGTTCGTGATAAAATACCACTAAATGTAGATAAGGAGGAACATCTGAAGACGTAGTCTACTTATGTGAAGAAATCTTGTGGGAAAAATTAGTCACAGCATTAATCAAAGCGGTAATGAATTTTTATAAAATTCTAATTCATCAGTATAATTGTTTAAATTTAATTCTAATTATTAATTTAAAAGATAAATAATTTTGATCTATAGCTCGATAGCTTTTGACGCTTTTTAGCTAAGATTTGACTGGAATTCTTCGCTGTTTCACTGCCAAGCCTCAACAAGGCATATAAAAGCAGAGATAAACCTGCTCGAAAATACACTTGCAATTCCCTTAACTAGACGAAACTTGACAAAAAACTTTGCTCTTCCATCATGACGCTGCGAAGAAAAATTCAAGGAGTACCCAAAAACAATAAATCAGGCCGTGGGTGCTAATCAAGGTGTGTAATAAAAGGGCCGCGGTTCGATACAAATCGTAATTATTGTGTGAAATAAGAGAACAAAAGGTGCTATTATCAAACAATCGAGTAGAGGGTGTTAAAATTACTTCTAAGATCGCGCTATTGAGTGCTTCGCCCCTTGTAACTTACGACACACATCGAAAATTACTGGTAATGAGAACCACCTCGGAGCGATGCATGTCTGTACACCGAGAGTGCGAGCATCGATGTATGTATAGTGGTGCCCGCGGCTTAACATCTACAGCCATCACTGGGTGATGAAAATTTATATCTACAGCCATCACTGGGTGATGAAAATCTATATCTACAGCCAACTGGTGATGAACCTTTATATCTACAGCCTACTGGTTGATGAAGCTTGATATCTATAGAGCTTACTGGTTGGTGAAGATTTAAGTCTACAGCCTACTGTGTGATGATGATCAATCAGTTGGCTTCTTATCTACAGCCTATTAACTGGGTGATGAAGCTTAGTCAGTTGGCTCGTAAGACCTGTATGATAAGTGCAGTGAGTATTGCTCCTCGTCAATAGTTCTTTCTTCAAATAATAACATTTACCATCTAGACTCAATTTGTCTCCTGGATATCATGCTCACTGTAATCTGCAGCCTGTCAGGTACACTGGTTGAGAGGTTAGCCACCAGTATGTGAAGTAGATAGCCCAGATGCATAGTTGCATAGCTTACTAATTTTGATATTAATTCAACTTTTATTTGATATAATTTCTTCAAGTGATGCATGATCACTGACTCTATTTCGTAATCCTTCATTGTAACTGCGCGATTTACTGCTATATAGATGATACGATAATTTATATTGAGAGACAGCAATTTATCAATTGTATTTTAAACTTAATCGAAAAGAATCTATATCTAAATAAATTCTCAATATTTTTTCAAGAGGTAATAACTTACGAGCTGGTTCTGGTAGGCGGTGACGGCTGTGAATACGGTTTGAGGGTAAATGTAGGTCCTGTGGTCCTCACAGTCCAGGTCCGTTATGGGGACCGACTGCCCCTCCTTTAGCCGCACCAGATGGATGCGTGGCTGGTAGCGGTGCATCGAGTTCAGGACTATCTGCTGAACAGGGAAGGCAAGACCGCAGTTAGTGATCTCCAGGACTATCTGGTGAATAAGGAAGGCAAGACCGCAGTTAGTGATCTCCAGGACTATCTGGTGAACAGGGAAGGCAAGACCGCTGTAGATTGGGATGGGAACCAAAAATATCTGAATAGTTGACAATATGGAAGGTGTTAGCGAGGCGGCAAAAGATTGGTAATTGAGTAAGGATATGCCCGTTGCTTGTAAGGTGATTGAGGAATTCCTGACTGAATAATGAATGAATGTCCGTGTTCAGTTAAGCTGTTACTAAATTAACCCTCCTTAAGTTAGGGTCTCATTAATTGTCAATTTATTCGGATCAAGGATGTCATGGCAGCTTTGTCGATCCAAATAATCCACCATTGTAATTTGTCGACGTCACATTAACATCATTCAATTACAATTAAATTACAAAAAAAATTCTATTTACATGATGATTTCATTCATCATTGAGTTATTAAAATGTTAACAGAAATATACTACTTCTCTATTTATATGGATCACAAGTGTTAGTCTCCAACAGAGAAGGTGCTCAAGGAACCACTTGTCCTCCTCCGCTCGCCGGCTGCTCTATAATCATTCACTGGGCTCGTTAGTTCCTCGCTCCTAATCAGAGACCTAGGGAGAGAGACGCGATTCTGTTCTCTGTACGATAATGCTGTACAGAGAACGGGAACACCATGCTGTCGTATCCGTGTTTTGGATGATTTCCATGCTGCAAACCATTTATGTCAGTTGAACGTTTGAATGAATTTGTCCCCCGGGAGACTTCTGTCGTGTTTGTGTTTCGGATTATCTCGATTCTATTTCTAGTGATTATTTCGAAATAATTTAGGCCAGTAACGGTATAAAATTATTTTTTTTTAATATTCTTTGTTCGGTGAGCAGAAATGGCGGAAAAATATTCAAAAATCTGTAATAATGATCTTATGAAAAATACTTCGTAATTCACACCATTGCCAACAGTGTTGGAGCACACCTACTAAAGGTTATTCAAATTTAGTTTTTCAATTCGACAGGTAATTTTCCCTAATATACAAACAATAGAATACGACACACAGCGACCCGTCTCTAGAGAAAATTTGAACTCATCACTACAAATAGTGATTCTTTACTGCGTATGTTCGCTGACTTTATAATGCAAGCACAATCTTGATTAGGATTTAAATTTAAAGTTTAAATAAACCACGGATAAGTCAGCCAAGCCCAGCCAGTCTATTCAAAGCTGTAGGCTTTCCTGGCAAGGCTCATGCTCAGTCTCTCACGACCGCACTTGAGGGTGTCACGTTACGCACTTGAACGCGTCTCACTCTAATGTTAGTGAGAACTTACTCATGACCTATCGCTACCATGACTGAGGAATTCACTGCCGTAGTTATAAATTCACTGCCACAGTTACTCATAACCTATCGTAGCTATGACTCATATTTAGATTCATAGCAACTAGATGACAGTGAAAATATACTCGTGCATCTTCGCTATCATGCAAGGAACTATAATGGTATGTCATGCATGAAAGGTTATTTTTTTTATTCATCAGAGGGCCTAAAGTACTGTAGAAGTTTATTCATCAGAGGGCCAACACCTAAAGTCGTATGGCGTATGTTGGAGGAAGAAGGAATAGATTGGCATCGTCAAATTGAAAACGAATCGCGTAATAAAGACTAGTAATTGTGCTATATCATTATTAATTACTGTGAAGCCTAATTCTCACAGACGAAGAACAATTTGAATTTATTAGTCAAATACATTTTATTTCATCATAGAATTGATTAATGATTCTTCAACTTCATGCAATATACACGAGTATTTTAAAATTAGAAATTTCCTATCTTCATTAAGTACTTAACTACGCAGCCATATGCAAAATTGTAAGTCATAATCATGAAAAAAGAGGAAAATTTCAGATATTCGCATGACTGAACGTGCAACATGCTGAGGTTTCCTTGGACATCATGCTTATTTCTGGGAGCCAAGTGCCGGTATTCGGTCGCGGCATGGAAGTGGTCACCCGAGACGGCTATTGACAATCGTCTGTAACTCGGTCACTTATTTGACCTTAATTTTCCGGTGGCGAGGAACAGCGGCGCTTTTATGTGTGTTGAGGGGAGGGCCCTTGTCTCGCCTTACAGTCCGGACACACACGCCGTGCAGGGTCTCGCTAAATATAGAGCCAAACATACCAGCTAGATATTTTCGTGATGAAAACCTGAATGAAACACCGTGACGTTTTCGCATTTTTGTAAAATATCACAAACATTTGAGGTCAATAGCAGCAATAATGCTCACTCGGATATGAATTAAAAAAATCTTTTTGGGCAAATCTATGTAGTAACATAGGAGTAGGTGTGGTTGGGGAGATATTTGTTATTTATATGTTATTGATCAGTTTGCGCAAAAACTTCTCGAGAATCTTTCTATTAGCAATGCAACTAACCAAAAAAATATTCGCTTCCGATTGCCTGACTTTTGAACGAGAAATAGATTTTCCAAGTTAGAATTTCTATCTTGAACGTCGCACGTCAGTGGCTGATCAAGGAAGCTCGTTTGCACTTCAGTGACAGACGCACAGACAGACGAGTGACGACTGCCTTCCGAAACCACACAACGAGAGAAAAAATTTAACCGCTAAATTATTACACAGAAGCACATGTCCGCTCTACTAAATAGTACTTACAATTATGCATATGGCTGCGTAGTTGCGCACTTAATGATGAAAGGAAATTTCTAATGATAAAATACTCGTGTATATTGCATGCAATAGAAGAATCATTAATCATTATATTTTTGCCTTTTTGGGTATTGCATACAACGACGTCCAGGAATTAATTAATTTTGCCTTCTGAGAGCTATGGGATTGTTGTGTGGCAAGGTTCAAATCATTGAGCAATACCTGATGACAAAATATTTCATAATGTAATATTGTTTCTTCACATATTCCAAATATTTCCAAGTATCTTTAGTATCATCATAAGAAACTAACTTAGCTTCTTTCCTATTAAAGCCCAAGTTTAAGCTGGAGGTTAACATGTGTTATTCGCTCCTTCACCTTTTGCGAGTTTGAACTAAACATCAATCATAAGTTCAACGTAGATTCCGTACTTAGACGGAAAGTTCCACATGATAGTAAACTTGGTGCACATCTCGCTAAACTTTTGAAGAGTTTGACCATGCAGAAATCCCAAAGTTCAAGTCTTTATTTTTGGGATTCAATTTAATTCCAAAATTTATACTTAAATGATAGTGTTCCACCCCTGAACTTCAATTAACTTGCCTGTTCGCACCCATTTCACCTATGGCCTGTCAAATTGCCTGTCAAAAATCTATAATTTTTCAAATAATGTACCTAAAGCTGAACTTGCCTGTCCGTCTATGTTCACACATGGCTTCACACAAGATCTGCCAAATCGCCTGTCCAAAATCGATTGTTTTACAAATAATGTTGTACCTAAAGCTAAACTTGCCTGTCCGCCCTTGTCCATCTCGTTGTTGGTGAGCTTGACCTTTTCGAAGCTGACAACTTGCTTCTTGAGCTGCTCTCCTGTAAACGGCGAGTCTGGGTGAGCATACAGCCGGTACGGTGGCGGGGGATCCGCTTTACCAGCCACCAACCACGACGACCGGTGGTATGCGTACCGGTACCGTTTGCTGTCAACCGGTACGATGTCCAGTAGCACCGCGTACCGTTCTTCCGACCGCAGGCCCGTGAACGAAGCGCGCACCGTAGGAAACATGCGTCTGGGGACGAAACAGGAATCATTGTTTAGTATTCAGCATTCACGATTATTTGGCAAGAGTGCCGAAGCAACACGAATTTAATTTGAAAGTGGATTTATCACCCGCCTTTTGATGTAAAAATAGTCTTCATGCTGGTTCATCATTATTTCAGGATAGTTTCAAATCTTGGATACTTCCGCGATTTTGATACATTTTTATATCCATCACGTAATTCATGCGCCTTAATTAGCTTTCAAGTTGGGATAAAACATGACCGTTGACCGGACAAGTTAACCGATGAAATTGTCCTGACTAGCAAAAGATTTGTATTAAAGATTTATTAGTATTATTTTACTTTACAGTTGTAAGTAGCATAATAATTCCCGCTTATATTTATCTAAGTTTGTCTGAGCACATCAGTGTTTAATTAATATGCCAACATTTTAAATCAGATACGTTATTAACAATTTGCCTCGAAGGTTTTGCTTACAATATTCGAGTCGGTTAAGATTATTAACGGCGTTGAGCTGTCATGTTTCGAGTTCACACAATCGAGGGAAAGTTTGTCAAGCGAGGACCACCCTCGGAGGTGACGCTAACAAGCCATATCTTTCCGACGTACATCCGTTGCCCTCTTCGCGTCTTTCAAGACGCGAGACGTGTATAAAAACTAGACATTTTTTACATCCCTTCATGTCCCATATAATTGTGCACCTACGTTTGATGCTCCTTTCTCTAGATATAATTTTTATACGTAGTAAAATTATTTGAGTTTTTAATTCGTTTAGTTTCGGTTCATCAGCAGGGTTAAACATTCGCGTAAACATTCACATTCGCATTCAAAAAGACGTCTAAAGAAACCGTTTATACCTTAGTTTATATACGTAATAAATGTTAGAATTTATTTTGTTAAAAAGGTCTTGGTGCTTTTTGTCGATTTTTTGTGGTATTTCTTACCGTATTTAAATCCTAAACTAATTTTTACGAAATTTGCAAATGTCATCTCTCCATCCACCTCACATCACCTCTTATACACGAACTCGTCAATATAATTGAATTAATAAACCTATTAACTTAAGGTTGAGACAAGCTTCGTTCGCGTTGCACTTTGATCTTACTTTATTTTTTTGCATGAGTTTTTGCAGCATTACTTTGAGTGGCAGTGGAGCTGTCGCAGCGCGGCTTGCAGTTGCGGCGATGACATGTGGCGTTCGTTGAGCTTACGTCGTGTGCGGCTTACGAACGCTTGGGTGCAGCGTTGAAAGTTGGACAGACTGTCGGCTGAGAAGTGTCAAGTATAGCGAAGAAGCGTCAGGTAGATCTGTATCACTTGCATGGCGTGAGCAACGGCCACATATCAGCTGCTAAATCGTGTGAATTTAGCTGCAAATCATGTATACATGCACGGGTAAATGAATTATTCAGGAGGTCCCTTTTGCTGCATGGCATGTACGCGGGTAAATGAATATCCCAACTATTTCATTTGTACTGTGCTAAATTGAGTTATGTTATGTCACTGACTTATATTTATTTTATAATTTGTAGTATTTTTTCTGGTGAGTTGAAACTCTAAGATATTGTTTCACATCTCAAAAACTGTACGCAAATATATATGTTGCCTCACTAAATCACCATACTTCGCTGGATCACACGGCCTGCAAATGCGGCATGAATCAGATGTAATTGAAATAGTTATACCTCCTTCTAATACACAGTTTGCAAATGGGTTAATGCGGAATGGATCAGTAATCGTTAAATCACGTTTTCTCAAACGCCATGAATAGGACGTTTCTGCAATCGTTATGCATGGCTGTACCACATGCACGGCCTGCAAATGATGTTGCAAGAAACTTCGCCGGCAGTAAGCGAGTTCATCACAAGAAGCAGACTGTGTGTTTAAGACCACACATCTCCTGCGTGTCCGCAACTGTCGCCAAAAAAGTCCGTGAAATTGAAAATGTTCAAGTCTAACGCCAATGCGCCATTTTACCGCATTTTTTGTGTATTAAAAAGCAGAGATCGCAGGGTCGACGCATCCTGCACTTCCTCTTTCTCGATCAAAACTGTCACGGAAAAAGTCTGGCTTTTTTCATTAATCATTTCGCGAGAATAAAATGAAATCTTGTGTGAAACTAGCATGAATCGATTTCTTCAGTGAAGCACATTTGTTTAGTCTAGCACAAGATTAAATTTCTGCCTGAAAGCTTTGTTTGGTTGCAGGCCAATGAGCTTTCAGGAAGCATGGCATGCAAACACAATTGAGCTTCCTGATTGGCTAGCGATAACCTTGCAGCAAAGCTCTCAACCGTAAATAGAACGCTCTAGAATACGAGAAAAACATCCTTCAACGAAAATTTTGACATTAATTGTTATGATTCACTGTCATGTTTTGTTAAAAGCTGCTAATTTTTCATTCTTTAGAGAGTATGAAAATAATACATTTGAATTCGTCAAAAATTTTGCTACATCAGTATTGCTTGATTTATAACACTTGCGAAAAAAGCGGAAAAATAACACAAAATGGTGGTTCATTTCTTAAAATTTTAATCTTCCATCAAATGTAATTATTTTAATTTATCCTTTAAATTTGTCCAATGATAATAAAATACAGAAGTATAAGCAATAAAAAACAAAATAACATGGAATTTGTCCCTGGAATTTTCAGAATCATTACGGTTCGAGTTGCGCGCTTTAATCTCGAAAACTAACATCACCGCCATGCATTTCAGACGTAACAAATGGCTGATTGCAAACGCACGCAGCACTGCTCACTCACAGAGGCTTTCTTTCCAATTTCTCGAATTAACAAGCGTTTCGAATGTAATTCTCCAGAACTAACAAGGTTTTTTATTTTCATTGAGCGCAGCCGGGAAGTGCGAAGCGGTGTCTGTGAAGCCACTGCCTGCGGTGACGCTCCAGTTTTACTCAGTTGGTTTTGGGCAATTTTTGTCCCACGATTTTTTGGCGCTTGCTGCAACCGATCGGCTCTCGATCGTGAAATTAGCGACCGCGGTCTCGATGATTGAAATGTTACTACAACTCCTAGAAATAACGTGAAGGAAACTTGAATGAAATTCAATTTGAAATATTAACACGATCATCGGTTTTGCACCATAGAGCATTTGTAGACCACCTAAAGTCTGTACGGTTACTATTCATGCTGTGAACAGTATTAATTATAGTCTTATAGAAGGTTTTGGTAATTTTAAAATAGGCTGCAGGACAGATAAAATGATTTCTCAAAAAAAGAACAGTAACAAGGAAGAAGATTAAACTCGAATTTTGAATCGACTATGAAGAAACAATGGATTTGGAATTCGTTGACTGGTAAAAGTAACGCTTTCCGTCGTGAAATAGAATTGCTAAAATGCTAAGGAAGTCTAGTCACATTTTGATCTTACAGTTCACATAGACGTGAATAAAAACAAAAGTTGTATGAATAAATGACGATTGATTCATACAGAACAAAATTCATATTATTTTAGAAAAGCCAATTTTCAGCATGCATTCATGCAGTTGCAAAGCTCCAACGCGGCGGAAATTGCGAGTGGACGCTCGTGATTTTGTGCAACAATGAAGAACATAAAAGATATCGGGAGATTAATTTAAAGCGCCGCACAGTTACTGAAATAGCGATTCCTGTGGAGGTCAAAGCAAAGGTTCAAGGAGCGCCAAGCTTCTTCGTACGTCATGGAGAGTGAGTCACGGATGAATGTTATGCCGTGAATGATGAATGGCTTTACTCGTTTGTTTGGAAATGGCGTGAACTTCTGTGAGCGATGCGTGACTCAAAAGCCTGAACCCGGAGCTTCCGCCAAGCTACTTATTCACACGCATAATCCTGAGCTGCTCCAGAAGATGAACTCAGACTCACCTCCTGCGAAATGTAACGTGAACAATATTTAGGATTTTAGTTAGCAATTCTCGGTTCAACTTTTCTATTTCGTTAAAATATAAATATAGCAGGTTAAACAGGAATATAAAATTAAATTGGTAATAATTATCGCAACGGTCTGGTGTTGGTAGTCTGAACAATATTTCTCTTCAAGAAGTTTATTAAAGTCTCTTTAATCAGCCGTATTTAGGATATTATTCCTGCTTACTTATCACTCAGGCTTATGTTTGTACAATTGTTAAAGATTTGTCTTCACCCATCATCGTTCATGTCACCTTAATCTCGAGCCTACAAGCTTGATATTTTGCCTCACAATATTTGCATATGCTGATTTTTATCAGTGCCTCAAATCCCTATCAACCGCCCCTTCCCAGGCTCAACATCCTCAGTCCTGTCAAGCATTCAGCTGGTCCCCGCGCCCGGCTGCGGACCACACAGTTCGCTCGTAGCGCAGTTAGTTTAGGCGTAATGCGAGAACCGCTAGGGCGTCTGTAAGCCCGAGAGGCACGGGAGCGTGGCACTGCAGCTCATTAGACCCCGGCACCTGGGCTAATTCTTGCTGCCAAAACCCGACCACAACGTCCCGCCCTTTGCTTTATACAAGCTTTTGAAATATCTGAGAAGCTACCCAGCGAAAATTTACAGACGCGGCAGCTTCTGATTTGGATTACCAGAAGCTGGGGCGACTCTAAATTTTGTCAGGGTAGGACCATCCTGACTGAAGCAGACCGAATCTAAAACACTTACTGATGCAAGCCAAAGCAATCGCGAAGAACCTGTAACATGTATGCCGACGAAATAAAATGTACCACGAACTCGCTATGTATGGCGGAATAATCTTTATGTAGTTATTAAAACGTCGTAGATTCGCAGTACTCTAATTTCTAATTGAGGTCTGAAATATTCACTAGTGGCATTGAAAAAAATATAATTTCCAGACCATTTCTGCAAGCTTGATGCACATAATTACGGAATCTTCGAATAACCTCTGTAAATAAGTTATTGTCTCGTTTGTCCATGTTAGTTCAAGAGAAATTGAATACAAAAAGACATATTAGCGCCATATTTGTTTCATGGACGCAAGCGTTTAAAGGCATTTACGGCGAACCGCAAATTTCCGAGCTCA